TCTGATCTACAGTTCAACAAACATTTCAGATGGCATCTTTAAGCCCACCCCCGACAAGATTCTGTCACCCCTCCAGATGTCATCTTTAAGCCCATCTCCAAATGGCATCTCTAAGCCCATTCCCGCATCCATTGTTTTGACGAATGCAAATTTAAGGGCACTCTAGTGTCCAATCTCCTTTTACCTTCGAGACGCGAAAGGCAAACTTGCCAATCTAACTCTTCAGGTGCAAGAAGATTAAACAGGGGCAACTGTTGTACCCCAAAATTTTCCCTCCCATTTCATCAACATTTTCTCACCACAAGACTCTTGGAGCTCAAGATCAAGTTAGGGTTTGCTCTGCTCAAGACTCCTCCTTGCACTGTTGACCCAATTTAGGGTTTGAGTTTGCACAAAGATGTTTTGACCTAAAATGCCCAAAGTGACTTTCATGCTTCATGTTGGACTCACAATTTTATCCATACCAAGTTTCAAGCCTTGATTCCAATCTTTGCCCAGTCAATTGGACAGTTGACCTAGAAATCAGCTGTATTGGGGAAAAAGTCAACTATGGCCAATTGACAGTCAAACTTCATGGAATTTGACCCACATCAACATAATGAACTCATATGGACCATTTGATCAAGTTTGGATCAAAATTCCACAAGAAATTTGATCAGATCACCAAAAGGGCAAAATGGTCATTTTTAGGGTTTTGACTGCACAAAGGCAATTTTTGAATGTTTGACCTAACCAATGGCAAACCAAGCTCACATATGGACTCAAGAACTCAATGGCATTGTCTGGATCTATTCAACAAGTTCAAAAGATCCCAATTGCACAGGATTGATAGATGAATTTTCCAGTCAACTGATCAAATTTGACTGTATGCTGAAAAGTCAAACTTTGACTTTTTGGTCAAAATCAAGTGCCAAGATTCATTTTTCATCAAGACATGTCAAATTATGAAACTTGTTCATCAAGAAACCCAAAATGGAAAATTAGGGTTTAGAATGAGAAATTTTCATAACTTGGAATTTTTCTAAGTTATGAAACTTCCTTATTTTTTACTAACTTTGTCCCATTTTTTCACCAAGATGCAAATGGATTCAAACAAAACTCAAAACATGAAAGTTGTAGTCCATCGCAAAATCTACAACTTTTATTCACAAAGTTTCCTCAAAAGAAGCTTTTATCTCAAGTTATGATTTTTGGAACAAGGGTGCAAAACATTCTTAACTTAGAAAATTTTTGACCTATTATAGGCAGGATTTTTGTCCAACTTCATGGCCATTTTTCACATGCTTCCACTTGGAATTTAAATTTTCATTATAAAGATGGGTTGTATTACATATTCCAAGCTTTCCAAATTGTCCAAGAACTTCTCAAACACCCTTGTGGTTAGGGAGAATCGAATTTGCAAAGATGGGCAAAAGTCACTTTGTTCATGGCCAAATACATGTTCATAACATTGGCATTTTCAACTCAGCATGGTTTATGCTAGCTTACAGGCCTCTAATTCTCTTCACACTCAATAATTAAATGCCAAACCATTGTGTTCAAGCATTGTTTTATGCATTAAGTCATTACACAAAGAATTAACCTTTAAATGGAAAAAGCATATTTGCCATTTTGATAAAGAAGTGCTTTATGTCAAATTCACAATCCAAGAGGTACAAGCAAAATCTCTGAGGCAAGAGTTGGTAGGCAAATCCCACTGATCAAGAACAAAGTATGCAGCATGTTCAAGGACTTGATACAGGCCTATAACCCAACTTGCATTTTTTTGCTTACATTAGAAGAAAACTTGCAAACTCACTCCAGGCTCTCATTCCTGTAAGAACCAGCCAAAGAAAACTTTGCAAACACTTTTCACATTACCTAACTGACCTAAAACACGAATCAACCACAGCTCAAACCTTCTCATTCATCAAAACACCATTTTTCTGCAAGAAACATGGCATTCCTGTAGTTTGACTTGGCCATCATCATTCACTCATGCATTTTGGCCCAAACAAGTTCCAATACACTCCCTACCATCCATTGAAGCTATCCCAGGCCTTAGATACAAGCTGTAACATCCATAGCCAAGTTTTCCATTTTCACTTTTCAATTTTGCAGGTTGACTTCCATAGCTTGATTCAGAGAGATTCAAAGCAAGCTAAGCATAGGGGAAGCATCCTTGGGCTTCAGGAAAGTTGTACCAAAGTTCAAACTCCATTGAAGATACCTCCATTGCTGTACACGACTCAAGCTGAACAGGTAAAAATTTGAACTTCTATCTCTCTATCCAGGCATAGTTAGGCTTAAGTTTGTGAAGAAAACATGTTCTACTCATAGCCCTGAAGCCATCCATGTAGTTACTTTTCATTTATATTGTGTGTGTTGTGAGAATTTTGGACCTGAACATGGAAGAAAACTTAGGTCAGAAATTGGGGATGGAGAAATTCTCCCTCGTTTCTGAGAGTTAGGTTAAGTTTTTTATATGTATGAATTCGTCTCTCCATGCTCTATAATGTTTGTGTTGTGAGTTTTTGTTAAAAGTCAAGGAATCAGGATATGTGTTGGGCAAGAAGAAACGCGCGTTTTTCTGTTTGAATGTTGCTGAAGGTTGAAGACAAAGCTGGCTTGGGCTGGGCCTGAGTCAGCTTGCTGTTTGCACCCTCATTTTCCATTTACACCCCCTGGCCCATTGTATGATATTTTATTCATTTTTGACTTTTTATTTTTTTTCTTCTGACTTATTATTTTTTGTCAAAACATAAAAAAAAATTAAAAATATTTTTTCACCCATTTTTGCATTTATTTGGCATTTGTTTGTTTTATTTAAGCATATATATATAAACAAATATATTTCTTTTTATCCAAAATATTAAACAATAATACAAAAATATATTTTTTTAGTTATTATTTTTTGTTTACATTTTGAAAACATTTTCTAAAAATATACTTTTTTGTAAATAATTAATATTTCATTTTGTATATATTTAGTATATTTAATATATAATATAAATACTTATACATATTTTATTAAATCACTACAAGAAAATTGGCAGATTGCGACAGGTATTTTTGTAGATTACGACGGTTAAAACCGTCGCAATTTGCTTTCCACGACGGTTGCTTTACCGTCGCAGAAGTGTGTGTCTCCAACCTATTTCGCGACGGTTACAAAAACTGTCGTTCAAGTTTACGACGGGTTGATACCGTCGTGACTATCTTTTGAGTTTCTTTTAATTATTGATGGCGACGGTTCGATACTGTCGTGAATATCTTTTGAAATTGATTAAATTGTTTATGGCGACGGTTCGATACCGTCATGACTTTTGTTGATTATTTTTAATTGTTGATTACGACGGTTCGGTACTGTCGCCATGACTTTTGTTTATGTCTTGATTTTTTTTTATTTTTCTATTATATATATTTTTTATTTAAATTATTATCTATGTAAAAAAATTTAAATATAGTTTTTTTTTGTGTTATTTTTTTCTTTAAATTATTTCTTCTTTAATATATTTATTTATAGTATTATTTTTTGTTTTATTTTCTATCACTTTGTAATATAGTAAAAATAATTTCAATAAAAAATATTTAACATCAAATAAGCATTATAATATCCAAAAAAATGTGTGTTCCATAATCATGTAAAATGCGAGTTCCATAATCATGTCAAGTAGTACAAAAAACCCAAAATATATTAATTCCTAATCTTATAATAATAAGTATCATTATGCCAAAAATACATGAGAAAGTTCACAATCTAATTATCTCGATCATAGCAAAGTCTAATTTGTCCCCCCTGAAGTTCCATTATCTCCAATACGGTAGCTAGACTCAGATGAACGTCTACCATCAGCGGGTGATTCCAATCCCTAAAAAAATGTATTAAAATAATAATCTTTAAAATAATACTCATAAAATTTAACTTTAAATGCGTCAAAATAATATACCTGTCTTCCACTAAAATTCTGCATTTGCATTAAGAGTTCAATTTTCTTTGTCCTCGCCTTGTCCCTTTGCGTTAAGAATATGATTGCCTGTGTTAATTCATCAATTTTTGAATTCTTTTCTTTAAGTGCATTAATTTCTTCTTGCATTTCCTTTATGATTTATGACGCTGTTTTAACCCAGGGACTGGAAATCAGTATGCAATGTGTTAGAAACCCAAGAATTGAGTTCCAAAGAAAGAACACTTTTTTTATTAAGAAATATGATAGAATAGGAGAGAATTCTCCCAACTTAGATCCTACCACAGGGTCAAAAGTAAATGATATTGACAAGAAAGGCTTTTATATAGAAGATCAAATCATCAAAAGTACAAGGACAATGGTAAGTTTACATAATCCTACGTAAAATCGATGATGACAAATATATTAAATCAATATGCACGACTATAATAACATGAACAATCATCTATTTAACAGGCCCGATCTACATTGTGCCATTATATTTCCTTGAAATCGCTTGAATAGATGTATTACACTACACAGGGTTTCAGCAATAAAGCAGATATGTAAATATTTTCAATTTCAACTGACTCCTTACTTACGTGCAGATAGAGAACCGGGTGAATTGCCAAAACCTTGGTTAAAAGGAGCTCCATTTTGAGAAGCCTTCAATAATATCCATTGTTATTACATGTTAAGGGTAATACAAATCACTAAACATATTTAGAAAAAACTAGAATTGTAAACTCACTTCAGCTAGAGCACGGGCTTCCTTGAATGAACTTGATTCATCAACATCTTTAAATCTTTCAAAAGCATTCTTCTGCACAGTTTCTTCTGGAGACACATCTACAAAAGCTGCAATAAATAAATATTTATCAGGAAAATTTTAATTCCAGCAAATTTATATGGACACACTTCACAATTTGTTATAATTCAAAGCAGTATGTTTCCATCATGAGCACAAACTCCTTATGGTGAGACACAGCTAGCTAATACAAATCCTCATCAGTCATCCGGAAAGGCGTGAATAACTTGGCAAATATTTTATCTTGACCAACAAACAAATTGAAATCAAGGGGGGCCTGAAACTCCAGGGAAGAGTTCAGATATTTTATAGAAGACATCCATGACCTGAAACGTAAAGAGAAAGACGGAAATGTAAAATTCAATGTACAAGAGGCTAAAAATGCTTCCAAGAAAGACAAATTGAAGGTATCATAATACCTCCTTATCATTTTGATATTTAGCAATACTCATTGGATTCTGTGAACACTGCAACCAAAACAAGAAGCACTCAGAGATTTGATATGAAATATTAATGAAGTGGTACTTAAAGTAGAACTTACATCCATGATAGCTGCTTGAACTATAGGATTTTGAAATGCCATGGCAACATCAGGATTGGCCATAATCTTTGAAATGACTTCTTCGGGAGAAAGCCCAATTTTATCTGATGAAAGTGATAATATAAAATGTTAGAAAACAGGAAAGGAGAATGTAGAAAGAATTAAAGAATTGATCCATCTCTCAAAAAAGACATCTCTTGTAAAATGTGAGACATACCAAATTGTTGTTTAACAACAGGACTATTAAGGTCAAAATTCTTTAAGGTGTCCATCATTCGACTGTCCCATTCAATGCCTCCACCCATGTTGTTTCTGAAACCAAATATATAGGAGAAAAAGAAAGGATGTGTGAATCCCTAGTGGCCAGAGAATACAGTTTACCAATATATTACTAGAAAATACATTGATTTATATAACTGCAGCACATAGAATGACACTTTAGTGAGAAATAACAAATAAGATTTACATTTCTCTGCAACTTCAGGTCTAAAATCAACGTAGTGACCATGAATCCAGTCATAAGTAAACTCAAACAAAATGTTATTGTACAAAAGCAGAAGAATGGTCATTTAATTTCCTCCAGGACTGGCATTTATCCTAATTCCAAATGTTAGGTTCTGTTAGGTAAAGAATAGGGAGTCAGATTCAGTGTTAACAAATAGCAGCGCCATGGGCGCTATGATGGATATACATGGCGGTTTTTAGGCTCGACGTAATGGTAAGTATCGGCTGATATTGCAGGTTTTTTTGCCATAATCCGCTACAATGGCGCCGCAGAGCGGCCGGTATGGCGGGATTTGGCTCTCCGCCATCGACAACACTGCTCAGACTTAACTAATAGATTTAACGGAATGGGGGGCTAATAGCCACTTGTACTTCACTGACAAATGAAAGAAATGATGACTTCAGAAAGAGGAAAACTAACTTTCCTTAGTGAATGTTTCCATTCACCAGAAAACTAGTTTTTGTATAATCGTCAGGCAAAGCAATGTAAGTAAGCACTTCACCAAAAGCTTAGGGCCTTTTTATTTTATTTCATTTACCAAACCAAAGCACCACCTTTTCACTTAATTTTGTGTTTTCAAAGGTTTGCATATGAAACAGTGAAAATTCTATTGTTTTCATTGCTTCCTATAAGAAACTTTGAAAATAGAAAACAGAGGTAAGACAAGACAACATTTTTGTAATTAAGAGTGAATACAGAAAATGTTCCTTAAAAGCAAACAAACCTTTATGTTTACAAATAAAATCACCTAGATACATGGAGCAAGAAAATATCGGTGGACAAAAAAAGGCTTGGAAGATACTAGTACAATATAAAGAACTTACATCATTTCTTCAAGTCGTTGACGGTACTCAGGATTCTGCAGCATCCCTGCCAAAAGCAGCAACAGTACATCAACTATCCATCGGCCAAATTTATTAACATGTCATGTAGAAATTATCATCTAGCAGTTGAAAGTGACAAACATGATTTTGAGTTTTGATCAGCAGACTTAATTTAACCAACATAAATAGTGCTTCCATTATAATACATGGTACTAGTAATAATGAATGAAAAGACACCCATATAAATGTGTCGTATATAGGAAGTATTGTATATGTAAGTAACAATGAGTATGCTCAAATGTGGTTTTGTGTTAGTTATTTCAATGAAGGCACTAAACTAAGAAAATCATGGTGCCCACATTATAATCAATCTTAATAACATTGATTGACATTGCATAGAACCAGAAGCAAGAAAACTGTTAAGAGAATTACATTTGAAGGTAGAAGGCTTCCTCATCTCCTCAGGTAAATAGCTGCAACAGTGCCCACAAATTATGAGCCTATAACCCTATAAACAAAAAGTGTGATCATTTTGCTGCAGATCTGAGTAGATCACAAATTTAGTACCAGACCTCAAGTTCAAAATGTAGTAGTAATAATAATGCATTATGCATATACATGATGTTAATTTTATGCATGCTTCTACCTTATAATGTAGCATAGTTGCTTCAAAAGAGAGAGGCTAATGCTACATTACATAATAACATGGCACTTTCAAATTTCTTTGGCTTCTAAATGCAAATTCAAATAGGTAAACAACAAACTGATTAATACCAGATCATCATCATCACGGATAAGTCCCTTATCGCTTCCTTCTCGTTCCCTGAGTAATTTATTTTCTTCTTCAAGTTGAGCACAGCGCGCTTTAGCAAATGCTAAATCCGCTTTAACGGTTTTTAGCTCACGAAGAAGTAATTTTGCTTTTGCTGCTGTTGCCAATGCCACCTGAAATCAAAACAAAAGAAAATGTAGCTTGTTTGGTTACATAAGAATTTAACAGAACTTGGATAGTAGAATATGTATGTTCCATATGTGAACTAAATTTAAATTCATCACATGAGAGGGACTAAGAACAGATTCTACTAAGTTAAAATGTATTAACAATTCCAAAATCATTATAAGATGTTCTATCATCTATGCCTACACTATAACAACTAACGAGACTGCAACCATTATACATGATTACACAGTTGGCACCTTACGTCTCGGGATTGCTTAAGTTGTGTTTCATGATTAGAATGAGACTGTGTCTGATCTGATTGCTGCCATGGATTCCTTATACTTGAAGCTTGGTTTGTGTCACCTTTTCGCCTGATTTGAGATCTCAGGTCTGCTGTCTTACTCTCCACCATTGTTCTTCCATCCTGAGGAAATCAAAGAAGTTACATTGAAGATATATAACAATCATCGATGCGCACTATCAAACACATGAAATTCAGATAAACACATCAACAGATAGATAGATAGAGTTACCTCATAAGCCTTCTCACTGATGTTGTTTCCTGACTATTTGAAGAAGAAATGCTAGCAAAAGTATGCACAGTAGTAAACTTGAATAGCTTGAATATACAAAGATTCCAAATTTAGTAAAACATAGAGGTAACGGGAGCAAATGGAAATTACAATGATGGCAACAATGCGAATGAACACGCGGCTCCTTGTAGAGGGAGCTGAATATTCAAAATTAAAGTCTAGAAATTCATGATTAGCAGGAAACAATGCTATGAACTGATGATTATTGAAACCAACTCTTGGAATTTCCCAGTTGCCCCTGAAAGATAATTAACAATCTTCTATCATCATTTGATCCGTAGAAAAGGAAATTAACTAAAGAATAAATAATTAAATACCTATAGTGAAACAAAGGAGCTTGAGGAGCAGTGTAGCCTTTAAATTGCTGCATTCAACAACACAATCAACAAAATAGAGGGGAACATAATTAAGCATTTTTTTCGTACAAATTTGAATAACTTATATGTTGAGTAAGACAATAGAAACAAAGTGCAGACCTGTTGGAAAATCTCACAAGTAGTATCACCTTTCTCATTGCACCATCTTTGCACACATATTCTATGAGCATACTGCAATGTACCAGAACAAGAACAAGGTGTATCCATGTTTAAGTCTTCATCTTCATCGTGACATATTCGACATTGTACCAACGTATTAGGCGAACATGACTCAATTTGATCAACCATTTAGAATGGAAAAAAATCACATCAACATTGTTTGACCATAGAGTTGTAATCCTTAAGATTTAGGATGAAGTAATCAATCAACAAAATCAAACCAATATCAAAATCAAAAGCACTAGAAAATATTTTCTTTTGAAAAATTATAACTACAATATAGACCAATTTCATTATATGAGTAGTTGCTTTTAGTTGTGTTTGCCTAAGGTAGTAGGTTTGGAAAAGGTAACAGAAGAAAGGAACTTTAATTCCACATACTCAAGAAAGGTATTACTGTTTAGCAATTTGAAATTCAAACACAAACATTAACTACAAAAAAAAGTATATATGAATCTTGGGATTGCCTATGAATATTGACATTGGAATATCAAAAATATTTCTTTCCATTAAATGAATGGTGGTCCAAATGTTGTGATGAAACCTTCCTTCAAATAAAATACCAAACTTCAAGCTTTTATTTTTCCTTTGTCTTCAACTACCACCAAAACAACAATTCAACATGATCAATTTAGGATTCAACAAGTCCTTGAAGTATCACACAATATTTAAAAGAGACAATATCTTGTAAACACAATACCAACTTTAAGGATTCAACGAAGTCCTTGAGATCTCAGGTCTGCTGTCTTACTCTCCACCATTGTTCTTCCATCCTGAGGAAATCAAAGAAGTTACATTGAAGATATATAACAATCATCGATGCGCACTATCAAACACATGAAATTCAGATAAACACATCAACAGATAGATAGATAGAGTTACCTCATAAGCCTTCTCACTGATGTTGTTTCCTGACTATTTGAAGAAGAAATGCTAGCAAAAGTATGCACAATGACCTTCCCCTGCACTGAATTCCGAGCATGTATTACTTATGAATGCCTCTTCAGACATGAGTGCAAAACATTGAAATACATTCAATTTGCATGGAAATTTTCATTATAACTATGTCGATTCAACTTTAATTTCAATATAATTACATACATTTCATTCAAGTACATCATAACCTAATAACCCTATTTCTGGTAAGCAAAAATCATATTCATAAGATTACCAGATTTTAGATTTTGGTGAGATTTAGAAGCAGCCCTGGTGACATGAGAGGATGAAGAGTTAGCAGAAACGCGAAAAGTCCCAAAAGCGAAAGGCTTTCTTCTTGTGAAGACGTTTTTTGAGGAGGAATGTCCCAGAAGAAGAGGTTTAGGGGAAGAAACAAGGGCTAAGTTAAGATTCTCCATTTCGAAGGTATGAAAATCGAAAATTGACGAAACTGAGAAATTGGTGGTGGTTGTGAGATGAGGAAGCGAAAGAGGTTTGAAAATTTTGGGGGAACTGAAGATAGTTGAGAGTGGTCTGTGGCGGAATGAGAGTTTGGGTTTCGGGTTCCTTGTTTGCGGTAGGGATAAGTGAAAAATAGCAATTTATGATTTGGAACTTGGATTGCTAGAGAATATACTAGCAAATAAAATGCAAGGTAAAAAAGTTTTTTAAAATGGGAAAAATGAAACACTGGTCTTTTAAAAATATAAAAAGAAAAACCAAAATCTACTTATCAAAAAACTCCATAAAAGTCCATGTGAGTTACCTCACTTGGATGGGATATTCCTAGATCTTAGTAAATATGAGTGGTTAGGGTGGCTCACGGTGGTAATAAGCTTTATTTAGTGATATTTATAATGTTTACGGAGTAGAAAGTGAATTGATGTTTTATGTATTTTAAGAGCTTTTTAACTTTTTTACGGCGACGGGTGTTTTACCGTCGTGCCCATGAGAATTTTTAAAGGTTTTGGGTGCGACGGTTGTTTTACCGTCGTGAAATGAATTTTAGGACAGATAATTTTACCGTCGTGAAAGGTTTAAGGGTGCGACGGGTGCTTTACCGTCGTGATATGCCTTTTAGGACGGTTAATTTTACCGTCGTGACTAGTTGTTGGTGAAAAATCAATGTTAAAAGTGTTAAATGGGGGCCGACGGTTGTTTTACCGTCGTAATAATAATATTATGATGGTTAAATATACCGTCGCAAAATAAATATTAGGGACGGTTGGTGTCAACTGTCGTAAACACTGTCTCTATATGTCAATTACGACAGTTATCACATAACTGTCGCAATTTTTGTGTCGTTAAACACTAATTTTCTTGTAGTGAATATTTAGGATAAAAAATATAAAAATAATACCTTTTTATTTTTATTAATATTTGACATCAAAAATACTTTTTACAATATACTTCTCTTTTATTTATTTTTTGTATAAATAAATATATAAATATTGTATATAATTAGTAAATAATTACTATTTATTTAAAATTAGGGTTTTGCCCTAAAACCACAAAAATACTGCAAAATGATTTTTTTTCTATTTTGTTTATATTTCAAACATGAAAACTTCTACATACATAAAAAAATCTCATTTTTTGTACATAATACATTTTGCATTTATATTTGTTTAAATATTGTACAATTTATTATTTGTCTAATTCAATATGGATGTAATAGTTTAGATTTAAAATTCTTGCTAAATATCCCCCATTTAAACATTTGTACCCCCATTCCCATAATCATGTTGTAATAATCTAGAACTTTAAAATTCCGCATTTAAAAGCTTTCTAATTATGCCATGATAGAACTAGGGTTTGTATGCAAAAATCAAATAACAAATAGCTTGGCCTAATTCAAAGACAAAAAGCATGAAAATGGACAACACCAATCACACTTGCACCCTTAGGGTTACTCCACTTGATGCCTTCAAAAATGGGTCATGCTTGCATGTTGAGTTTCTTTGGCAAAACAAAATAAATCAAATGATCATAGTCCCTCGATGACACTTTCAAGTTGCCTAAAAAATGATCAAGTCCCTTAAAGAATAATTGCCAAAGACACTTGGCACTATTGCATTCATGGTCTAAACGATGACCCGCGCCTGTCCCGTTAACATCCTAACGCAAGATTGTCCACCAAATACAATGGTGGAACAATACTGTTAAAAGGGTTAAAACATAGAAAAAAATCTTTGAGTATATTTAGAGGTAGACAACTCTTAGTTACTTGATCAATCTTGCAAAACAAATCCTTGCCTACTTTCAAAACACACTTCACAACACAACTTTCAAAACAACTTTCAAAAACATTGAAAACTTTTCAAAAGACAAATACACCTTTGTATACATTCAAACATGGATCATTACAAAGGTTGCCACAACCAATGGCCTCTTTTCAAAACCTCTTTCAAAATCACACACAAAGCACCATTTCAAACAATTGAAAGCACCATTTCAAACAATTGAAAATGCAAGGCAAGTGATCTAAGAAAGTAACTAAGAGCCCATGGATAACCATGGATAGAAAGGGTGCTAATACCTTCCCTTTCTATAATCTACTCCCCGAACCCAAGAAAACATCTCAAAGGTTTTTTACTGTGCTTTTTAACCTTTCCTTAGGATAAAATAAAAAGTCGGTGGCGACTCTTGCTAAACCGAAACATTTGCGAAAACAAACACAAACCTCAAGTCAGTTCTCCCACCGTATCACAACAAGCAATCGAAGTTAGAGGAAGAGTAGCATCCACTAAGTTATCTCCAATAGATTTGAAAACCACAACGTTTTGGATACACTGATCACGAAAACTTTGAGATTTCGTTCATAGACAATCTAACAAAACAAGATTGGAGAAAGCCTATAGTAGATTATTTACAGAATCTGATGGCTTCGACAGAGCAAAAAATAAAGTATAGGGAACTGAGCTATATACTAATGGGAAATGAATTATTCAATAAAACACCTGAAGGTGTGCTACTGAAATGCCTAAGTGAAACAGAAGCATATATAACTCTTTCTACCACACACGCCGGGGCATGCGGAGCACACCAAGTAGGCCATAAGATGAAATGGCTATTGTTTCGACAAGGGCTGTATTGGCCCACTATGTTAAAAGATTGTGTTGAGTTTGCAAAAGGATGTCAAGAATGTCAAGTGCACACAGGCATCCAACACGTACCGACAAGCGAACTTCACTCGATTGTGAAACCTTGGCCTTTTAGAAGATGGGCTTTAGATCTTATTGGAGAGATTCGACCAGCGTCCTCTAAAAGCCAAAAATACATATTGGTGGGCATTGATTATTTTACTAAATGGATCGAAGCAATTCCTTTAGTCAATGTAGACCAAGAGAGTGTCATTGAATTTATTCAAAAGTACATTATATATAGATTCGGAACCCCTAAGACAATAACGACAAATCAAGGATCAGTCTTCACTGGTCGAAAAATGCAATAATTTTCTACAGAAATGGGATTCAAACTGTTAACGTCTACACCTTACTATGCACAAGCTAATGGCTAAGTCGAAGCTGCAAACAAGGTATTTATCAGTTTAATAAAGAAACATGTGGGAAAGAAACCAAGAAACTGGCACAAGACGTTAGATTAAGTTTTATGGGCTTGTCGAACCTCTCCTAAAGAGGCTACAGGAACAACACCATTTCACCTAACTTATGGTCATGATGCAGTATTGCCAGTGGAAATTTGTCTACAGTCAACGAGGGTTTAGAGACATCAGGATATCCATTCTGAAGTTTATTGGAATATGATGTTAGGCGAATTAGTTAATTTGGACGAAGAAAGGTTGAAAGCTTTAGACCTCTTGAGATTACAGAAGAAACGGGTTGAGAAATCCTATAATCGAAAAGTAAAACCTAAGAGATTTCTGCCTGAGGATCTAGTATGGAAGGTAACTCTTCCAATGGATCAAAAAGATAGAAATATGGGAAAATGGTCCCCTAAGTGGGAAGGACCTTTCAAAATTATCCAAACATTCTCTGGTGGAGCCTATGAGATCGAGGAGTTAAATGAAGATCAAAGGCTTCTGAGAGTAAACGGTAAATACTTGAAAAAGTATATACCTATGCTTCAAGAGGTTAAAATAGCCAATGTATAGTCACAGTCGAATAAGGAAAATGCCAAAATGGAAATTTAAATTTCATTAAAAATAGCCAAAATGGCCTTATTGTCATTAT